AAACCTTTGTAGGGTGAAACATTGTTGGGCGATTAGGTCTTGGATCATGATAGTCCTCAACTTCAATCATCTTCCTTGGAGGAGGACTAGCATCCGAAATCTTTGTAGGGTGAAACATTGTAGGGCAATTAGGTCTTGGATCACCTTTAATCATTGATTTTCTTACACTTTCCTGTCAAACAAACGTATGAAAATGTTCACCTTTAAGCTCCCATCATAAAGTAGAATATATACCAACAATATTTCCTTATCCACAAATCAACACAATAAAAAATTCCTCTACACACCATAATTTATTTTTACAATTAGTATTCATTTTTTATATAAAGAAAAAGTAAGAAAATATCTCTCTTCACTCATTCTACGTGTTCCTCTCTCCCACGTGTCAAAAACTTGGTGATGAGCAACAAAAGGCTAATTTTTGCTACTTTGTTAGTAAGAAATTATTGTCTAGTATATATTTGAAAAAAGACTCTCAAGTGCATCGGTTAACTCTCATCTTTTACTAACCATCATTAAACTTTTGATAGGAAAGAGAAATATAGAAAAATATTTTTTTTTCTTTTAGAAAAAAACTAAAGCTTTATCAAATATTTATTGATAGCTAACATGAAGATTGATGCTGACGGGAGCACCGATATAACACATAAACACTCATTGAAATGGTCAAACCACACCTTTATAGAGTCTGCATGTTCCATACTTCCCATCACCTCCCCTCCAAATCCTTAAAAGAAATCCCAACAAAAGAGATAAACAAGTGAATACATGGAAAAATATAAAACAAAGAACCTAAAAATCGAAGAGAAACAATAAAATAACAAGAGAAGAGTTACCATGAGAGGAAAAGAGAAGCAGAAAGAAGGAAGCCAGAAGAAGTGGGAAAATTCTAAGGCTACCCATTATCTTATCTTTGTAAGAATATGGGAGGAAAAAATGGATTTTGATGAGATCAGAGTGAATCTATCTCAAGTGTGGCTTGAGAGTTCAGATTCAAACCTAATTTATAGTGCGCAATTGTAACGCCAATAACCTTATTTTTTGGGACCAAAACTATATCAGATTCATATCAAACAAAAAGCTTATAAAATCTAATGCCAAATGTCTCTCTTCTTTGTAGGGATTCCATGCCAAACATCGAAGGAAAAGTTACTAAATCTTATCAACTAATGCAACATTATCTAAGTTTTTTTTTAATATATAGTTGAATAGATTTAATTAAGTACTCAAAAAATTGTTGAATAGATTTACAATATATTAGTTCTTGGTTACGTTTGAGATAGTATGGAGAGATTCCAATTCTTTTGCTCTATATTGATGGTAATACTTAAAAAAAAGTAATGAACCATAATGATAATTGTTTTTAAATTTAAAGAGATGGGGAAGTGAGGATGGAGAAATTTCAAAAGATTTAGAAAGGAAAATTAGCTAAATTAATTAAATAAATTTCTCTCCACGAACAAAATAATTATCAAACTAAACATTAATATAATATTTATAATGTTTTACACATTGAAAATAGAATCTTAAACATTATAAACTCGAATATATGACAAGATTGGAAAGCCTCACAATTTAAAAGGTAGAAGCTCTTTTTTTTTTTTTAAAGATGGAAAGTATTCAATTACTAAGTCAAAAGTAACTTTAAAAATTAAAAAAAAAAACAATAAATTAATACTTCATTTTAAAAGGGTTCATTGAATAAGTAATGCATTCCAAAATAAGTCCAGAAAATCACTCTACATGCAATGAATTTTTCCTTCCATCAGCTGTGTCCCATCATTTTCATCCTGCCACGAAATATATCCTACAAGACATTTTCAAAGTAGTATCGTTGCCAAGATTTTGAAACACTCTAAAATATTATGCGAGAAACCTAGAAAGTCGTGAGTTGTTGTATTAAAAAAACACAATTATTATTCTTATTTATTTGTTTAAATAAATAGAAAAATGGGTGCCAAATTACTAATTTCGTTGCATAACTATTTTCATTATTCCCTCGAGAAGAATTATCATTTCAAAGTTGTTTGCAATTGCATGCACATCCAAATGTCTGTGTTTTGGGTGGCAAATGGCAAATGGCATTAAAAGAAAGAGCCTTCCAAAAAATGTATCAGATCAAAGTCCTCCCTGCATGGATTACACTTGGAAACACAAGAAAATTGGGAAAAAAGAAAAAAAACTTTAGATCAAAGTCCTTCCCTGCATGCTATTATTTTCTAACCGTGGTTGCTCTTTGACAGACAAAGATGATTCTATTCTATCCATTAAATTTAAAATTTATGTATTATATGTAGTTTATTTTTTAAAAATAAATTTTCATTTTCATTTTATAAATTCAAAAAAATATGACGATGCTTTTATTAATTTTTTGAGAAATTATCTCAAACTTACAGTTGCCGCTCTACCATTTTTCTGTGAATCTGATTTTTTTCCGCGACTTATTAATTTTCCAGCGATTTGTTTCATTTTTCTTGACGAGTATTAGTTTTCTAACGGCTGAAAATTCCAGTGACCATAATGTAATATATTTTCGAGTAAAATCGAATCTACAGTATGATAAACATATACTCGTTTAATAAATCTAACATAAATTTTATCATACTCGTTTAATAAATCTAACATAAATAGTATGATAATAATCAACCGAAACAATATAATTTATCCGTTTTGTGATATATACAAAATTATTAGGTTGTATAATATATAATATTTAATCTAACATACATGTCCCATACATGTCCCATATGTTATATAATATATATTTTTTAATATAATCTATCGTATGATCCATTATGATGTATAGGTATGCATAATTTATATATATCTTTGAGATTAATATACATGTGGTATAATTTATATATATCTTTCATATTTAATATGATATTGTATTTGTATATACCTTAGATTAGTATGGTGTACTGGTATAATTTTATGTGGGTATATGTGTTACATATATACTAAAATATATTATAATATTTCGAAACATTACTTATAAATCATAATTGAATATTTGATATATATCTAAAATATACATGAAATACATCAAGAAATCTGATAATAGAGAAGCCGGACCCAAAGAGAAAAAAAAATGCAAAAAGGTTTTTATGGCCAAGTTTCGTTAAAAAGGAAAAGGAGTAAATAATTACAAAATTCCACGAGCATATAAATATTGTTGCAGTTGCCAACATTATTGGTTATATTTGATAAAGTTTTTCGTTTTTTAAGCAAAACATCAAAATAAAATATCGAAAGTTGATTTGAATATATCTTTTTTCTTTTTCAAATATCATAGAATGGGTTGAGATTTGGACCTTTAATTTTCAGAAAACAAACCTATTTAATGTCTAAAATATTTGCATGAATAACTTAGAATAATATGAAAAAGACAATAATTTGTACTTTAACTCAATATTTTTCTTTCATTGGCTTTATATTTTATAATGTTTATTTTTCAAATAAGAATGAAGAAATTTTGAATCTACAAAACAAAGTCACTAATTCCTGACCATGGTCCAAATTGATCCTTTGTTTTCTTAATAGTTATACAGTAAGATTCTAAGGAACAGTCCAGTTGGCAAAGACTAGGGATCTTTTGGTCATATTGACTTAAGGTTTCAAGTTTGAACCTTCTTTAATACTAAAACTTGGATCTCGACCTTAGGGCGGGCATGGGTGTCCCTAGATATAAAAGAGCGATACACCCGAAATAAATGAAACAAATAGTAATCCCGAATAAAATGACTAAAAAAGTTTTAGAGGAAGAAATAAAAACAATGTGATCCCACACATCCTATTTACTCACCTTCCTTTAAATCCAAACATTACAAACAACATCAATTTGACAAAAGCAATGATTTCATTATTTTACAACCTAAACATTATCAATTACGTTCTATACGATACAGAAGCAATGAGCTGCTTTTGAGCATCAACAACAGTTTTCAATCAGAATTTAATTTGGATAAAAACATTTTACTTAACAGCGCAAAGTTTGCAAATTACTTTTGAGTGTGAATTTTTGCCATTTCTATCCAAAATAAAATTAAGATGTTAAGAAGACAAAGTTATCACGATGATATAATGTGTCATAATACATTCAACAAAACCAAATTATTAAATAATTTGTATGCTTAACGCAATATTGACAACTGAATTGAAACATACTATAAAGTTAAAATTCTCAATACTTGACATATACGACCGTCAAATATCTTCAGAGCTAACAATTGAGGAAAAAAAAACTGTTATATATTGAAGGTCCAGAAGAGCCAATTAACACATGTACAGAAAACTAACTATAGAAATATCCACAACATCTCATAGTATCCCCATGTATCCAAAACCCTTTTCAACTGAGGAACTAAAATCACACAACGACTCAGTTCCAAAAGATCACAAGAATCACAAAATTCAATCAGATTCAGATGACCAGATCCAAAAACCAGAGAGAGAATCAATGAACAAATTGATTAAGATTTTAAGACTACCAAAATCGAAACAATGAGAGAATTACAAACTGAAATATTGATAAAATCTAGCCATTTGGGACTCGTTTGGTAACCTTCCTATCTCTTTATTTTTAATAAAGAAAGATGAATTGGATCGGTCAAACATCAATGAATTCAAGTATGGTAAAACCATCTTTTTATTTATGTTTTGGAACAAATTGGAAATGAAAAGAAGAATGAAAAATTTGTTTGAGTTGTTTCCAAAATTTCTATACAAAATTGAGAATCTCCAAAAACAAGGAGATACAATCAATACGATTAGTTGTAAAATACTTAGATTTCCTAAGAAAATTGAAAATGAGAAACAAGAAACAGGACTTTACCAAACGAGGACTTAATTATTATTTCATAGAAAATCTAAAGGAGATATTAAGGGTTTTTGAGCTTTACCTCTCACGGCAACGACTACAATTGAGGCGGCGGTGGCGACGACCACACTCACAAAATGGCGATGACAGGCGACAGCAAAGGATGGAAAGAGATCGAACGGTGCAGTGGTGAACGATTGAGAGCGAAGAACACGAAAATATGATGAAGATTAACGACGTAGTGGTGACAGAATTAACCGGCGCGTAGAAAGACGAAGAAGAATTGCGAAGAAAAGTTCTGAGGAAGGAAGAAGAAGAAAAGAAGAAATGCGAAGTCACCTAATCTTTAACATTTTTCGTAGGCGTCGCTAAAAATGTTTATGGCGACATGCAAATTTACTTGACGTTTAAAATGAATTTAGCAATAAATTTCAATCAAATGTCTCAAACTATATCGCTGAACACATTTTTTTCTTTCTTATTCATAAGATATTTTAAAACTTAGGCTCCGTTTACTTACCTGCAATCAATCAATGAATCATAATGAAAAATTTGATTACCTTTGATGGTGTTTACCAAATTGTAGAAATATAATTTAATAATGGGACACACCTCAAACTTTGTAATCTCGTTACATAAAAAGTATAATCTCATTACACTCCTACAACTCCATCAATCCGATCCCCATTCTTTATTTCGTGGACCCCACATATATATTATAATTAATCTATTTATTTTGCCCTTTCTCTCTCATCTATTAGATCCATATAATTTTTAATTTGTTTTTTGTACTTTTATAATTTCTTCCTCATTTATACTCCAATTTTTATTAGTTGATATGATTTTATTATATAATATGATAAGTTAGTATTAATTGATATCAATAAATTTTTTAAATAGGTATTATTACTTTTAAATATTAGAATAATAAAACTTAATAATATGTTATATTCAAAGTTGGTTGGTTCTAATAAAAAAATATTTTATTAATATATAATTTTATTTTAATTATTCATTATGTATTAATATTAGATAAATTGTTATAATAAAAGATATTTAGTATCAATAACATAATAATAAATTAAATTAAAATTTATTATTATTGTAATTTAAAAAAGATTAGCACAATAATATATTTGTAATTAACTAAAAATGAAAAAGGGGTATATTAGTAATT